TGTCTGTATGAGTCCTCTTCTCCCTTCATCTTCAAACATCAGCCTTTGGGCTGATGAAGAGAGAAGTAAGAGAGTAAACATACCATTTGGGTATGCTAAACTATGTACACCATGACAAATGTTTACCTTTCTAGATCAAAGATGACAATGGTAAAACTGTAAGTCTAGTGTTCTGATTTGTATGACTAGAAATTGGACATGTTTTATGGAAAAAATGAATCACCATCAAGTAACAGTAGAAATGTAAGATTAAAGAATCAGATTTGCCATTATTGAATTATGGCAATTACTGGACCAAAAATATAACGAAAACACATGGCGACTATAAGACAGGGTTTACATTTCCCTCGTTTTACATATGAGGAAACAAACTTGACAACCTGTCCAAACCCACGGGCTTTGTAAGTGGCAGTGCAGCTGTAAAGCCAGCAGTCTGGTTCTAGAGTTCATGCTAAGTCAAGTGTTGTCATATTTTACAAAATAATGGGGTGAAAGTGAGATCTCAAAACTGACTAGGCTGTTTTGAAAAACAATTACATAGAACTTCTAGAAATGAGATAAAATTAGTGAAATTTAAAATTTATGGAACAGATTAAATTACAGATTAGACCTGGCTAAAAGTAACTTAGAAACCTACCCAAGATGCAGCTCAGAGAAAATGAGAAGTGAAATATGAACAAAAAGGCAAGGGGCATGGAGAGCACACTGAGTCCATCATGTTTAATAGAGGCTTCCGAAAAAGAACAGTGAGGTCAGTCAATATGAGCAGGGACTGAAGATCTTCCAGAACTCAAGAATAGCAATCAATCCCAAGTTCCAAAAGACTAAACAAATCCCAAGCGTAAGAAACCCAACTCCAGAGACACTGTAGCAAAGCCTCACAAGACCAAACACACAGGATCTTAAAACCGCCTGAGAATTTAAAAAGTAGATTAATCACACAGACAGCAATACAGAATCAAGAGTGAATCGACATCTCCAAATGTTGAGGGAAAATCTTGCTGTCAGCCTAGAATGGTGTATCCTGTAATGGTATATCCATTATAATGGTGTATCCAGCTATGGATTCTTTCAAGGTGAAAGCAAATTAATTACATTCAAAGATGAGACCTAAAAATATTTATCACTGATGACTCTCACCGAAGGAATTTCTGAAGATAACTCTGGTAGGAGGAAAGTGATCCTAGAAGGTAGGCCTGCGATGGCAGGATCAGGGTCAATGAGAATGGTAAATCTGATTATAAATCTAAGCATTGATAGTGACTCTATACAACAATATTGTCTAGTTTATGGAGTAAAAAATAAAATTCTTGAAAATGTTGGTACGTAAGTTGGGACAGAACAACTAGAATTAAGAGAATGCTGAGATCTTTGTATTGCTTGAAAGGAAGATACAGCTATTGATTAAATGTTTAGTGTGTGTATTAAAGTTTCTAGGCCTGGGCCTGGTTGCGCATGCCTGTAATCCCAGCACGCAGGAGGCTGAGGCAGGAGCATTGCCAAGAGGGGCCACCTTGGGCTACACAGTGAGACCCTATCTCAAAAAAAATTTCTAGGATATCCCCTGACAAAGGATGTTAAGCAAAATAAATGAGACACACAAGCTTAAATATCATGTTTTCTCTTATATGAGAAACCCCAAGTATAAATACGGAGCAAAATAAAAGACGACACGAAACAGAGACCTAGATCTTTGGCAAACGAGAAGGGGGAAAAAAGATGAGGGGAAGGAGCATGAAAGGGACTGGGATATGCTGTGCTCACGCCTTGCCTCCCCACGGTGTATGTCATCATTATGTACTGCAGACATACCAGGACAAAAGGAAAGAGAAACCGAGCAGAAAATGGAAAGAGTAGAAAATATCAATCCAAATTACGAGTGAAAAAGAAAAAAATTAAAAGCCATCCAATTCAACAGATGGAAACAAACCAGTAAGTACTTTCAGTGGAAAAAACTAATCATGGGAGTTAAATGACAGTTTGTCAAGCTGATTTTTTAAAAAAACAGGAGAAAAAGAAAAATGCAGCTGTGTGGTGTTTATAAAGAACTTAGTAGAGACGAGGAAAAGTTTAAAGGATGGGAAAAATATACAAAAGAGAAAATATACAAACCAAAACAAGGCGAGTGAGCCAGACTGACAAAACAGACTTGATGTAAAGAGAGATTAAAGAATCACCAGGAGATGATACAACTTTAAGCATTACATAATCCAAGTGGCCTTCTAAGAGACAGACAGGAAATCATAGCAATTTTGAGCCTGTAAAAGCAATACACCAGAAACAAAAGAACAGGAGAAAGTGACCAATTCCTTGTCTTAGAGGGCAGCCTTTCTCAGTGATTTCTGGAGTTCGAAACTCAGGGAATAGGTTGGAAACAGACACACACAGAATGGTGGTCTTGGAAGAATGCACTGTGAAGAATGTACTTTTTTCAGAGACAGCAGTAAACTAGGCAAAAATCTCCACTCTTGTGGGGTTTACATTCCTGTGGGCAACATACACGCACTTAAGACGAGTTGGGCAGTTTCTAATTCTTTTAGATTGACCCTTGGTACGTGCCGACAGTGGGGAGTTAGTCTGGCAGCCCTCAAAATCCCCACTACTCCTGTGCCACCTCTTCAGCGCTGCAAAATGTTTTTGCTTAAATACATGTGATGGAAAGACATTCACTGTGCGTAATGGCTTTTCTTGCATGAATCTAAAATGGATACATACCATCTACCCTTGGGATAATTCAGAGAACACCTTCTCAAAGCATTTTCTGTGTTGCATGGTTCAGAAAACAATAAAGGCTGGGACATATTACGGCAGTGCTGAAGAACAGCATCCCCGAGTCGGAACTCTTTCGAATCTTCCCATTATATTCTTTCCTAAATGACAATACTTGCTGCCATGGCAGTGGCTGTCAGAAATGTTTCTTAAGCATCGTGGAGAAAATTATTTCCTAGGGCTGGAAATCCCTAACAGACTAAAGGCCAGGTTGGTTTTAGGGGCATTTGAATTTGCCTATTTCTTCAAATGAACCACTTTTCTTGGTGGTGGTCAGTAATGCATGCCTCGAGCTGCTTCACTGATGTTTACACAGAAGATAGAAGTGAAAAGCCCAGTCTGAGGCCTTTTGTAAATAACCAGTATTGAGGACAAGTCTTTGTGAGAGCCCAGTCGGGTTTATTTCCAAATCCGCTTTCTATTTTCTTTGTCTGACGGCCTACAACTGGAGCCATAATCAAGGGCATTTCAGCACAGCAAGTGCCCTTGGGCCACAGTGTTTTAGAGATGGAGAATCTGAGCCAGCACTGCTGGGTGTCAGAGCAGCTGGAATGATCTAAATGGAAAGGGCTTGGTGGGCACGGTACAGAGGTTCAAGTGTGGTTGGGTTATCCCGTGGACCCTTCAGTGACCATTAACTTTGACTTACAAATTTAAAATTTTATGAAACCATTATTATATAAAGAAATACCTACATATACATAGTTGTGTCAAGAACTGAGGCATAGGGATATAAAGGCAAGGTCAATCCACACCTCAAAATCTAATGCTAATTAACCTGTATGCAATCCAGACAATGTAGCACATGAACACCTAGGTTTTTCTGCTTTATGATGTTGGCAGAATTTCACAACCACCATCTTTATTCTCAGAAAGTAAAGGTTCAAATCATCTCACCTCCAAGTTACTAGCAAAGCATCTCCAGCACCCCCAGTCAACAAACTTGACAAGTGCCAAGTCTCCACCCCCAGTTCCCAGTATTTCCCTTAACTGCTCCACAATAGGAGGTTTATGCGTATTCTACATCTCCGTCTGCTCCCTGGCAGGACAGAACTAAGCTTTCTCCTGCTGTGTTTCTTTGTCCTCTCTCCCAAGACGCTGCTGTGGCTGTCAGGGTGGCATCCGTAGCAGGCATGGGGAGGCCACGTAACAGGTACCCCTCCCTGGTACGATTCTGCCCGCCCTTTCTGCACAGCCAGCTGAATGTCTGTATTGTGACCAGGCCCAACTGCACTGTTATCTGCAGTGTAAGGATGCCCTGCTGTTGTAGTTTAATCTTGGCACAGCGAAGTGGCAAGTTAGGGACAGCTTACAGTCTTACAGAAATTTTAGATCCATCAACTCTTACATAAGAGCTCACGAATAACTGGTAGACATGTGGAAATCATCCTTAAAGCCTACTAGAAAAAAAAGTAACTTCTACTGGTGGATACGTAAGTATTTCTAAGTGGGTCTAAAGATACACATAAAAGCTGATAAATTTGGTTAAATAAAAAAGGAAAAACAATGCAAAGAAATTAAAAGTGGAGAAAACAGACTGAAAGTATTTCAAATCAGGACTAGTAGCCAGATTATGTAAGGACCTACGAGAGAAAGACAAATGAGGAAAATGGTCAAAGGCTAATAAAATTTCCTCAGGAAAGTGGAATGGCACGGGGGTGGTGGTGGGGGGTGTTCTTTTGCTTGGTAATGTAGGAAATATCTCACATCCATTCATTTTGTCTTAAAACAAAATAAAAATGTGAAATCCCGACAGTGCCAGGGTTTCAAAGGCCATGAGGTGAGCAGGCCCCCAGCAGCGCATACCGGATGTCCAATCAGCAACTCTGAGCCGAGTGATGTGGCGGGCTTGTCATTCCTCTCTAGTTTTCAGGGTTTCTTTCTTACATTTTCTTTTGCAACTTAAAGGGTTTTAAATTGCAGTCTATAGAAGAAAGCGTACAATGGTAGATGGAAACTACCTGTGGGCCATCCATCACCTGGCACCTTTAGGATGGGAGCAGCGTTCCAAGACAACCTGAGGTCAGGGCTGGACTCAAACATGATGTAATGAAAAGGTACAGCACACGCCCTAACTGGGAGAGTTACGTTTGTGTGTGCAGCAGTGAGGCGAGGCTGATGCAGGCATCTGTAAGAGATTCCTGCTAGCCACAGCTTGAGAGATGGAAGCCAGGACCAGTGAGTCACAGAAATGGGTAACAGCATTGAAAACAGCAAAGTCTGAAGCCATGCAAAGGTCACCAAAACAATTTTTATTTCCAGTGTTTAATTGGGTGTGCACACAGGCATGACACAGGTTTGGATTCATTAAGTCCTCATGCAGAATTATATTCTTCTCATAAAGAAGCCAGTTCCATCCAGGGTCCACTATCTACACACCTATGTTACAGCATTTATATCAAATCTGGTATCTGAAGAAAAGATACACATATAATATGTTCATTTAAGTTACGTATTTTACAGAAAGATTAAAAATTCAAGTCACACAAAACTCAAAAACTGTTTTAAAACTTTGAATATAAAACTCAGATCCACTTGGAATGACTAAAGAATGGAAGTTCTGTATCCACCTGTGTTAAAACTGGTCAATGTAATGAAATGTGTTACCGATAAAATGCATTCATTCATTCAATGTGAGTTATCTAATTTGAACAATATGGCACCCTAAAAATCAAACGTACTTTCACGAGGCACTTTTGTTAGTGATGAAACCGAGAACAGATTTGCTGCACCCTAATGCCGGCGCTTTCCTTCAGTGAGTTGGGGGTATACTAGGCAGTACGTTGCAACAGAGGCCTTGCTCATTTGTATACAGCTATCCCATATACTCTTAAATACATGTACGTGTTCTTCTGGCTGGAGTAATGCACTGCAAAGCTATTTCACAGTGCAAGATGATGAAACGAGCCCGAATGAAGGCTGCATAATAACAATTCTGGTACAAGGCAATATTTACAGCGTTACCGGAGCGTGTAACAGTGGCTCTGTGTCTGTCAGGTGGACGCGCCCAGGTTAGCGACAGGGACGAGGCTAGGCCTGACCGCCAGGGGCTTGGGACGGTTCGTGAGGAGGGGCATCGGTGGCGCAACTGGGCCTGGGGCTCGCGCTCCGGAAGCCTTCCCCGTGGCCTTGGTCGGGTGACTGTGGCGGTGTGGAAAGAAGGCGCCAAGCGGCGGAAGCCGAGGCACGGGAGGAACTGCCGGCGGCGTGGCGCTGCGTCTCCACTGCGCTGGGGAGCTCCAGCGGGGGCTCCGCGGCCGGCCCGCGGCTGAGGTCCGAGGCGCTGGTGCGCAGGCGCTCGCGGGCCAGCCAGTCGGAGATGGACAGGCCCTGCGCCGCGCACCGGGGCTGCAGCCGGTTCATGGCCGACAGTTCGGAGTCTCTCTCCCCGCTCTGCTCCTGCGCCCTCCAGAAGGCCAGCACACTGAGCTCAGAGGCGTCCCGCTGCCCGCCCAGCGTGTGCCTGCGCTTGATGCTTTTCCTTTTAGCGCTCTCGGGGTTTGTTTTTTGATTCCCCACTCCAAACACATCGTCAGCCAGCGCTCTGGGCCTCAGTTTTAACCGATCTGCTATTTTTGCTTTCCAGGTGGGCTCCTGCTTTTCCGAGTCATTTCTGGTGGGCGGCAGCAGACTCCCGGTCGATTTTCCCTTCTTCATGACCTCGAACACTTTCGTTATCGAAGGGGTTTCGTTCTCGTTCTTGGCACCGCCCAGACTGCCGCTGTCGGACTTGAGCCGAGCGGACTTCTTCCTGGACAGGGTGTCACAGTCAATCAGTCTGTGTGAGCTGAAGAGCTGCCTGCGGCTGTCCAGGCTGGGCGTCAAGCTCCCCTCGGTGCAGCTCGCCTCGCTGTCTTCCGAGTTCCTGCGGCCCGGCCTGCTGGCCTCCGCTGCTCTCCCCCGGAAAGGCCGCTCGCAAGCCAGCGCCGTGGGGAACACGGGGAACTCGCTCTCGCTGTCCGTCTCCACGGGCCGCCCCTCGCTCACCAGCTCGCTCCCCTCGTCGTCGGCCTCGTCGCCCTTGCTTTCGGCCACAGACCGCACCTCGGGGCTCAGCCTGCTGGAGTCCAGGCTGGCCAGGTACGCGGTGGACGCCGTGGTGGGATAATCGGAGGTGACGGTGCCGACACGGGCCAGAAACTCGCTGTGTCCGCTCTCTGGACTGGTGGGTCTCCTCGCGGGAAACCTGGCCAGAGCAGCCCGGGAAGAGGCGCTGAGCAGCGTGCCCGAGTCAGACCCCGTCTCGTCCAAGTGGGAGGACCTCGGGGTCAGCAGGCCTCCGGGGCTTTCCTTCAGCGCGGCGAAGCGGCAGTCCGGGGCGGGTGACCGGCTGGGCTCCGCGCTGTGCGGGGGGGACCGCTCCTCGGACGGGGTGCTCTCTCTCCGCAACACCGCCTTCTCCTCTTTTGAGGCGCTGCTGTCTTTCTTAGCACTACTTTCTTTGGCAACGAGGATCCTCTGTTTTCTGCCCGAGGTCTCACTTTCTTTTTTGGACTCTTCTCTAGTATCACTGTGACACTGTTCCACGTTTTCCTTCTTAAAAAATACACTATCCAATTCATCTTCCGAGCTGCTAGGCTGTGCTTTCTCTTTTGGCTTTTTCCTCTTGCGACTAGCAGCTGCGAAGATGGAGGATACAAGCAGTTCCCTGCTATACTGATCCTTTCCGGATCCCCAAGAGCCCTGGGGAGCAACAGAGAAATGAGACTGTGAGCCTAACGCTACTCAGCCCGCTTTTCGGAGGCTTTTCCCGTAAATACTTCTCAAAGAATTAAATCTACTAAAGCTCTAGAAGCACAAAAGGAGTGCAATTTGTTTTCTTACACTCCGGTTAAACTTGTACTGAAAATCTATCTTCATTTACACTCCCTCGTTTGCCAAGTCACTTCCACCTGACCTTTCAGGGTAATACTGTGTGTTCAGTGGCACCCAGCTCTTCTTACTAATTTCTCTGAAACTACTGACTTTCCTGCCTCCACAATGCACCGACATCCTTCAGTTTCCTTCATATGAACATAGGTGCAAGAGTTCAACAACGTTCTGATAGGTTGTTAAGACTTTATGGCTGCCTTCAGTTTTCTAGTCACAGACAACCTACAATACAGATACTGTGCAGGGCAAGAGAACCCAGAGCTCCCAGCAGTTCAGCGAGACTGGATCTTAGGGATTTGCCTTCAGTAGATTTGGTCAATAGTAACATCTTTATTTAGACTCAAGGCAAAAATAAGAGTTGGAAACTTCAAATAATACAGGTTATCAAAGCATCTGAAATCCTCACCATGGAAGCACCCTGCAGCACTTCAGTTCATTCTTATTGGTAAACTTGTTTGCAATGTATAATGGGTTGATCAGTTTGTTCATAATGTCTGTATGTCGAGTGAGTGGCTAGGGGAGTCGAGAGATACTTATTTTAGCACATACTGTCTATGACAAGAAAGCAGGCAGGAAGTAGGCTGAGTAACAGATCAAAAGTATATCTTTCTTGCTATAAAAATCTTAGTGGGCCGGGGATTTAGCTCAGTGGTTTCACCGCCTGCTGAGCAAGCTGAAGGACTAGAGTTCGATCCCCAGTACCAAAAAAAAACAAAAAACAAAAAACTTAAGCTAAAACTGTTATACTGAGGTCTTTTAAAAGGCTGTAGTGATGGAATCACACATTAACAAGTTTTGTTTTATAAGTTACAAGGGATTTCATTATTACCTAATACTTTGCTAATGGTGGTTCCTATGTTTCCACGTTCTGCTGAAGACTAGGGGGACCTGATGTTCCTTACTCTGGCCTGCAGTGTAGCATGCTTAGTGTGTTACTGATCACTTTTAAACAAATCTGTGATGACGTATGTGATGAAGCAGATGTCTTGTCCAGAACTGGGAAACTGTTAGGAATATTATCACAAATACCACCATAATTAGGATGAAGAGAGAGGTGAAGGAGCATGTGTCTAGTGTGAAAGACGGCAGAGGTTTAATATATGCCTTTTGGATTTAAAATCTCACCTTCTGGCAAAAGAGGTTGGGAAACTGTTCTAAAGTCTAAAGAGATTTGACAACCAAGTGCGAGGAATAGTTTGTGCATCCTAAATTGGGATAACTGGGGAAATCTGGATAACAATTGCACATTAGATAACGATGTTAGCACCCTGAGTAAATTATACTGGGATTATATAGGGTAATGCCTTTGTTCTCAGGAGATATATACTAAATATTTGGGGGTACAGTTTTGTGTACAACTAAAATAACTCAGGAAAAAAACAGACATTTCAGTAAGTCCCAGACTTACACACATGTACTGTATAAGACTCACTTTGTAGGCTTACAAATAATTCTCCAGAACGGAACTCAGTCGTAAGTTGGGGGCTGTGGTGGATTGACTGATGGTCAACTTGTAATAACACCCCACTGAACTGAATCTGCCTGGTCTGGGCGTGGAGGATCCACCTGAAGACTGTTACCAATAGCCATAAAAAGAGAACTGGAGGGGAAGATCTTGGCCTGTTGATTGGGTAGGAGAAGCTCACTGTTCTCAGAGGAGGAGCTCGGGGCCTCGCTGTCCCTGGGGACGGCTGCTGTTCTCAGGGGAGTTCTGGTCTTCACCGTGAGCGTCAATTCCTGGCTCCAGTGCAGATCCCTCAGTCTGGTGGCCTGCATATCCTTCATCTCACCAGCGTAGGTTTTCTGGCTCCACCACTGGATGGACTCCAGGAGGACACTGTCTTGGGCTCTAGGCCCTCAGTTGAATCCTTTGGGCCCCTAGTGTGCGGTGAATCTCTTGCACTCCTTTGCATTTGATTCTTTGGGTATTGTCACAAAATAACCTTATAAGTTGTGTGTCCTGTATTTAATGTACTCCCTTGCTGAATCTTCCTGACTAAAACGGGCTTACTGTATTTTTCTATATATCAGAATTTGTCAACTGAGGATTTAAGGTACAAGGTTTCAGTGCTCTTACTTTAGCAGCTTGGTTTAGGCTTAACATTTTTCACACTGAAAAGCTGGAGGCAATCCTATGTGATAAGATATTTAAACATAACATGTAAAGTTCATGTTTAATTATAAAGTACAATAATTAAAAAATTGACTTGATGTTGTTGATGGAATATAAATTACGTAAAAATATAAAAACAAACAATATTATGCTAAAAAGAAAGCATGAGTGTACAGTAAGTCTGTAACACTGAAATATCTGCAGATAAAATGGCATGTTTGGGACTCACGTGAAAATAGCTCCAGGAGAGGAAAGTGAGTGGAATGCACAAGAAACGGGATCGGCTGTGCTGAAAACTGCTGAGGAAGAGTAATGGTGCATGGAGGCTTATTCTACCTTCTCCCTGTTAAAACTTTAAGAACGAGGGGAAAGCCTGGTTGTCTGCATTTGATGACTATTCTATCGAACTCCACAGCCCAACTCAATCCAGTGCTGTTCTAACCTATTCTATTAGAATCTGTTGTTCTGGCTCACCAGGTATGGATAAGGATACACCTGTATATTAATCACAGAAACCAGTCCAAAAGCAATTCCTCCCTAAAGGACTTCCAAACTGTATACAACAATGTACCGGGCCGGGGATGGAGCTCAGGGACACCATGCCTGTGTGGCAAGCGAAAGGACCTGAGTTTGATCACCAGTACCAGAAAAACAACAAAAACAAATTTACCTTAGATTTTGTTGAGTCACTAGTAGCTGAATCTGTGAAGAAGGTAAATGAAACACGATCAGTATTAGCCAATCTTCATTACTTTCAACAAACAATGCAGAACTTGCGGAGAAGACAGGCACGGAACAAAATGTGAAAGCAAAACTCAAAACAACAACACAGTGGATAGTCAGAGCTCACAAAGATGCAAGCTGCACCACAGAAAGCCACCGCCATGAAAGGATGCTGTGAATTGTAGGCAGAACCAGCTCAATGAGAGGAATGGCAAAGGAGCCCTGTGCTAAACAAAACAGAAACACTAGTATTTATTTCTAAATGTTAAGTCTAGCAATAAAGAAGCTTGAAGACCTTGTAAGAACTATATTATGTACCACATCCTGTATCTCAAACTGATACACAATGTAGAACTTTGAGATTGTTGGCTGCCCTAGCTACAAATTGAGACACTGATACTGGTGTATTTTATTGATTTTTGTCAGACTTAAATTTGATAAGCATACACTGTATGCATAGCCTCAGGATAACCCTGCTTCCAGGTAATTTTGGTTTTACTTTAGATAAAGCTGATTTTTGTGCTTCAGAACCCAGTTCCACATCAGTGTAGTCAGGGATCTTTTGACTACTTTGGTTAAACTGCTACCAGTTTTATAACTTATCTATTAACAGATGCTATTATGGAAATGGAAAATGGAGACCATAATTTTACTGTCTGGCAAAACTCAGATTATACAATTATAAAGAGGGGAGGAAGGGGCCAGCACTATGCAAAATAATACCAATTTTGATATTTTATCTTTCAACTTTAGGGAAATTGGTCTTCAAAAGTAATGAGCTGAGCCCGTGCCACGCCCCTTTTAACACATGGCTAAATGCTTTATGACTTTAAGAACTGGTAGACCATACCATGCTATTTCTCCTCAGGGTCTGCTTCAGAAATAACAAGAAACAGCAGAAAAACTTTTAAGAAAGTAGTATTGATCTGTTTACAATATTCTTAAGAGAAACTTTACACCACAGATCAACTATGAATTTACAAGAATCGGGGATTTCTGCAGACAAGGCAGCTACAGTGTGGACAACAATCCTCCTTCTTCCTACAGTTCCAGCTGTCCATCAGGGACATCACAGAATCCACTAGTGACATTACCGTGTGATAGACTCCTCCCACTTCGCCTGTTCAACATCAGTACAGATTTGCCTGTGTCAGTAATGCTGAAAAAAACCCTTTAGGACTAAAACAAAAACTAGAGACAAAGGGAGAACACTGTGTGAAACAACATGCTAGATTAGTGCAACAGTTTGGGAGGAAAAGGTTTGCATCAAAAGAGCCTATAAAAACTAATACTTAACCAAGCATTAGGGTGGCAATAGGAAACAGAAGAAAATAAAGGTCAAAGAGTGACTTTTACTGTGACATTCATAGTGACAGACACTGTATTTATGACAACGGTGTCCATTAGCAGTTTGACATATGTTAACTTGCTGCTTTTAACAGAACTTCTAGCTCCACAGTAAGAGCTCTGTGTACAGCCCCGACCATACTTTCTGCCATCACAGCAACCACATATTCATAGCATGTCTCTGTTTTACCTTGTGGTGACTATTACATGGAAACTGTGAATTAAAAAAAAGAACGAAACAGTGGTTTGCATGCTCATTTCCCTTCCATTTCCATTCTGACAAACACTACAACTCCATGCATTGTCAATGGCATTACAGTCACTGGAAGATAACTGTGATCAATCAGAAAAGGAAGCCTTTTATTAGTTGAAAGGAAAAAAAGGAAAAGAAACCAAAATCACAGTGAATTATTACATGACTGATTCGCTCTGTTATAAGAATGCGGTTTTGACCCTCGGAATCCACACTGCCCAGGAAGGAGTTACCTGATACATCTCCGGGGGACACGCCTGTCCTTCCAATGTTGGTGAGTAAGTGATCTATGTTGGGCACTGGCTGGGAGTCTACTGTGTTTTCCTCCTGCACTGTCGTCTATGGTTAACAAACAAAGATCTCTTCATCATCGCTTCAAAGATACTTTCTTTAAAATTCAAGCAACATTTAATAAAAGGCACATTACTGAACAGAACACCTGGGCTTGCTTTTCTTACATTACTTCTATACCATTAACTGAAAATTATGCATTGTACTTGTATTTTCATTAGATCAGAAACTGAGGAGGTAGAGAACTGCTTCCAGGGTGCAAAGCGGACAATAGCGTACAAAGCAGGAGGTTGACACTGTCGTAGCATCAGGATCTGTGTCCCAAGTGACAATAAGTGAGTAAAAATATTGATGGACAATACTTACAAGAGGCTCTTCAGCACCTTCTTCTGTGAAAAACCAGTCATGCTAAAATTTAAAATAAAAAAGGTGAAAAGAAACATTAAATAACCTCCTAAATATATTTTTATCGTGGAAGATAGGACAGAAAAGGTATTTCTTAGGATGAAAAAATCAAAACCAGCATTTGTCCTGCGAAGCATCGGTGCTCACGCGAGGTGGAGGAGGACTTACGTGCTGTATGAGCGTCTCCACTATCTTGTACTGGTCCGGCATGTGGGTGACCATGTGCGTCATGTTGTCCTCTGATGTCCGAACCAGAGTTGGGCCAAACACGATGGCCAGGTTTCTTGGCTCCATCTGAAAGAATTGGAAGATATCAGAATTTTCCTTAAAGAATTAAACTTAAATTCTCATTGCAGGTTTGGCATTTCTAGAAAGTTCTTTTTGATGAAAAAACAAGAGTTGACTAACGAAGGTAAAAACTAAATGCTTTAATGAAAATGTGCAATGCCTAATTGGCATTCATTTTTCTCAATCTAGATATAATCTTTTTGACCAATTTTTACTTCCACCAAATCCTCTGAACCTCTTTGCTTGACCTGGCTCCAACAAGAACACCTCAATTTGGGCGGGGGATTTAGCTCAGTGGTTCCACCACCTGCCTTGCAGGCAACAAGGTCCTGAGTTCAATCCCCAGTACCAAAAAAACCACAAAAACAACAAAAAAAACCACCTTAATTTTACATACTTACATGTTTGTATATCGTTTTGAATTCCTTAATTGTAAGATTATCATAAATTAGATGTTTTGGGGCCGGGGATATAGCTCAGTGGTTCCAGTGCCTGCCTCGCAAGTGCAAGGTCCCGAGTTCAATCCCCGATACCAAAAAAAAAATTAGATCTTTTGTTTTCCTTTGTTATGTCTTATAAATAGCCAAAATATGCCGAGGGGTAAAAAAATCAGCACAGAACTTAAGAACTCAAAATGGATTTGGGGTGGACACGCCTACATTAGTGTTTTGTGGGGTGCTAGCACTGTTAGGAGTGACACAAATAGGCAAACCCGCAACCCTCCACCCCTACCTGAAGCAGATGCCATCCATGATATATGCATTATTATAACATGCTCACTGAGAGAGAAGAAACTGTGGCTGAAATCACGATTTTCCTAGAATACTGACTTAGCAGGATTAAAACAGGACTGTGGACGAAGGGAATGGTTAAATTGCACTCAGGGTGTGTTTCCGGTCTGCTCTGGACACGCCGGTGTCCTATTCTGCTACCTGTACCAGTAATGGTGGCTCAAAAAACTAAGTTCACCATCTCGAAGGTTTTATGTCAAATTTTCAGACAATGATAATTGTATACAGATATGATTGAGCATGTTGTTTTAGCTAGTTCCTACATGAAACTAAGTAGTTTGGATTACTACTTAAAACAAATTCTGTATTTATTCAAAGATGTTCCACAAAATATGGTTTTAAAAAAAGGATATAAAACTATAGTTCCTTCAAGATTGTATTACTTAATGGCTAAGAAATTCTACAGTAACGAAACCTGTGGAAGTTTAATCACCCATTCTTTCTCCAGTATCTCCTCCTAACACCCAGCAAAACTGATGAATGAATACTCCAGGCAATACTGAAGTAACTACAATGTATTTTACCTAGAATTAAATTGAAAAAATTTTGACTTCTACTTATGAACTGTCGAAAACGGGATAGTAAACTGATAAGTTTTCATTTCCTTTTTCCCTCCCGTCACAGCTGAGGGTGCTGAGCATCTAAAGGAAAGGGGAGCCGCTGTCATCTTCGTGCTCTGCAGGCATGGGGTGGAGCCTGCTCTCACCCGGCCTTACAGCAGCTGGGTGCTTCCGGGGCACGGACTGGCCCGCTGGAGTCATTCTCAGAAAAGGGAGTGCTGGCTGTGTTTATTTTCTTCTCCGGAAACCAACATGCCTATTTCAGTACTCTAAGGAGTAAGGCTCTAGAGTTAGGAAATCATCGTTTTTCACCTTCTAATGATAAAATGGATTCAAGTAATAATCATTAGTGACAGGAAAAAGACGAAAAATTAAGACTAATGTATCAACCAAATATAATGTGTAGACCTCGTCTGCATAGTAAAACAAATACCTGTAAAAAGACATCTTAAAAATGTGCTGGGCGTGGTGGCGCACACCTGCAATCCCAGCACTCGGGAGGCAGACGGGATATCATAGGTTCCAGGCCAGCCTGAACTACAGTGAGATCCTGTCTGCAAAAAATCCAGTATGGACTGATGAGACAATATTTACAGCACATCTTATTTGATAAAATAATAGAGCAGCCTTAAGGGGGGGCTTGTTTAAAACTAAACCAAAGTAAAGGTCCTGCTTTGAGCTGGGGACTGTGTGGCTCCTTTGCGACTGATGTACGTAAGTCACCTATTTGCAATAGTGACAATACAGCTGAAAATTCCAAGTTTAATTTTGACTTTTTTGTTTTTCTTGGCCAGTAAATGTAAAATGAAATACTTTTCCAAAATGAAATACATTTGGAAAATAGTGGATTTTTTGCTTTTAAGAATGATCTTCAAAGGGAACTCTTCAAGTTGATGTAATTTTAGAACTTTTGTTGAATTTTTGACTTTTGGAACGAAGGAATGAAGTATATCTTTTAAACCAAAGCCCCTAAAAGTCCACTTCTTCAATATACACCTTACGTACCTTATTTTTTTCTGAATTTTCTGCCACCGTCTTCAGATGAGCCGAGAGGAACTTGAGTGTTTCATAATGATGCTCAGGCAAATCGTGAATCTGAAACACATTGTGCTCGTGTGGGTCTCAGTGCTGCATTTCAGCCACAGCTCCAGCAATACAAAGCGATACCTACCAGTCTCTTTAATGTTCTCAGTCGATCGAGAGGATCCTCTTTACGATTGGCTTCAATAAAATCAGCATACTTATCTGACGATAACAATAAAACAAATTTATCTTAAATTGCTTGTGTGAACTGTAACCTAGTTTTAGGGTTTAAGGCCACACACATAAAAAGGAAGATCTCATAGACTTTATGGTTTTTAAGATCCTCCCCGTCTTATCAACAAATAGAAAATTCACAAAAATGTGAGTTCCTTGAGGGTCTCACCCAATTTTATATAGTCTGTCCATTCTCCCTACCCTCAGCAACTCCTAGGACAGTGTCGCTCACAGCACTCAATTATTCAGCTTAACTGAAAAAGTGTTTTTCTATTAATGATACTTTATGTCTTAAGACTTTTCACTGAACACAATGGACGTTGATGTTTGCCAACACAGAGGACCCAGATTATATATATTTTATTGACCTGAAACAACTTTTTTTGGTATGTTAATTTAAAAAATTTATTTTTATTACCTGTTTGAAGTACATAATGTTTGCATCTTGTGTGGAGTTGGTCCGTATACATACACATCTCAATTCCCTTTTTCATCCCTTTCCCTCCATGTCTTGATCTATCTTCCTACTTTCTGTTATCTTTTATTTTGCTCCTTGTTTATAACTTGGGTTTCACATGTAAGAGTAACCATGAGATATTTAAGCTTGTTTATCTGATTCACTTCACCTAATGTTAGGGTCTCAAGGTGCATCCATTCTCCTATAAGTGACTCAAGTTTATGGCAGAGTAGTGCTCCACTGGGTATATATACACCACATTTTCTTTATCTGTCCATCAGTTGGTGGACATCTACGCTGCTTCCAAGATTGGGCTAGTATGAATTGTGCTGCTATAAACAAGGTATGTATGTGTCACTGTAAATGTGGTATCTTTAACTGTTTTTGGGAAGATGCCTAGAGGGGGAACAGCTAGGTCAAATGTAATCTCTACACATTTCCATAGTGGTTGTACTAGTTTATGTTCGCAACAATACTATAGAAGTGTTCCTCGGTCAGCATTTGTTATTGATGTCCTGATGAGAACTATTCTTTCTGGGGTAAGATGGAATCTCAGTATTGTTTTAATGTGCATTTCTCTAATGGCCAGTGATGAACATTTCTTCATATATTTACTGTATTTCTGTGAAGTGCCTATTCATTTCATTGCCCATATTTTGATTAGGTCCGAGTTCTTTATATACTCTAGATATCAGTCTTTTTTCACTGAAATGTATCAGCAGAAAAACCCACATCACAAAATTATGCATTTCATAAATAAATTAGAATTAGAACCTCTTGTTTTCTTTGACAAAAAATGTTTTTTGCCTGGTTCAATATAATACCAATAATTCTGTAGTTTTCCAACAGTTGCAATATGAACTGTCTCCTCTGGCTTCTTTCCTAGGAGTTAACTTACCATTTGTGAAGAGAGGCTCAGGAAGTTTTCTGAAGAAGGATTTCAGTAAACTGCTTATCACGTTCAAATCTCGCCATTTCTAAGTATGCAAAACAGAAATATAGCATTTTTGTAATCAGTATTATCAAAGGACAATACCAACTGGACTAGTTATTAAAATAAACTTACATCATCTTGTATATCAATATCAGCCATTCCCTTGTTGAGTTCTTCTTGCATACTTGAAATCGCTGCATTATTTCCAGGAACTCTGTAAATACCTGTATATTCAAGACCTCGTTCTTCAACTAATTTGCAACATATGTCAACTATTAATGGAATATACTGCAAAACAAGATATAAACATTTTATTTAACACAGCATAAAGGTTTATATTCAATTAGTAGTTGTGTATCACAGCTTATAAAAGGCCCTTTTCATCCAGAAAGAAATATGTGTGGAGAAAATACAGGATATATCCACTGGAGAACTGGGAATAGATAAAAGCAGCAAGCAACACTTGAAGTGGGAAGAGAAGGAATAGGCCAAGACAGAACAAGAAGGGCCCTCAGGAGATACGAGGAAACAAGAGCAACCCAGAAAAGGTGGAAACAGTTCAGGTGAATAAATCAGAGTCAAGAAAACAGCGAGGAAGAGTAACATCAAGCGGCTCAGGATATGAATCCTAACATGGCTGTAGCTGAACATGCATGCGCATTTACATTTACTATACTTTGTGTGTGGGGCACTGGAGGCTGAACCCAGGCCCTCACATGTGCATTTACTATACTTTCTTAATTGAGCCTGTGTTGTTCTCATCTTAAGATGCTACAAGCACAAACACACATGATTTTCTTTTCTTTCTTTTCTTTTTTTTTTTTTTTTTGGTACCAGGGATCGAACTCGGGACCTTGCGCTTGTGTGGCAGGCAGTGGAACCACTGAGCTACATCCCCGGCCCAAACACATGATTTGAAATTGAATTCTTTTTGACCTTTTCAGGTGTATCCCTAATGACTGAGTCATCATTCAATTCAGGTCAATACATTAGGAAAAACTCTACAGATAAAATTACTCTGCAGGCACAGGCAGAAGAACTTGGGAAATCAAGGTCTGCTAGAAGAGGGCACTCAGCAGATGCACAGGCGGGCCCTGGTGTCTGAAAGGCTATGGCCACAGTTGAATGAATGACAGCAGGAAGCCGGCTGGCTGTGTCTCCTACCCGGTTAGAGTGAGCTGGAGGGCAGTCATCGAGTCTGACGCCGAATGTCCCCGTAGCAGCAGGCTTTTTTTCAAATGTCTTTCTCACGATACTTGGAATGCCTTTTCTCCATGTGCCTTTGTCTTTTGGGGGACTGGTATCATCTTTTGATTCTTATTGAAAACAAAATGACATAAAGAAAATGAAAACATGAGCATTTAAATCATGAATTTAAAAATCTTTATCAATGTTTACAAAAATTAGAATCCCATAAAATATTACACATTTATCAAAACTACTTTCTTTTACTATTTATATGCACTGTGATCCTTTAAATCAGCCAGAAAGCAGAATCGGTGTATCTTCTTAGTGAGATTTTAGCAAAGGGGAAATACTGGTTTTGCTAAAAAACGGTGGCGCCTGTGTCCTCCGAGCCCTTCAAAGTTGCAGTGGTCTATGTATCACATCCCTCTCTGTCTTGATTGGACAAACTGCACCCTTGGACGGTGCCTTGAATCCCACGTTTCATTTGGCAGATTCGCCCGGAAAGCGGACATCAATACCTTTACTGAGAAGCTTCCTTTCTGACTCTTCCTTTGGGGAGTGTGGACTCTGAGTCCTTGTCTCTGATTTACCGCCAAGCAAAGTCTGCCTGATGCTGAGGCTCTGGCGAGGTGTTTTTGGCAACTGTTCTGCTTTGCTGCTGAAAGAAATGAACATTTATTAACACTTTCCTATTTTACATCCAAATTGACTACGGGCATGATGGGATTCTCACCTCATCAAACTGTTATATTCTTTTATTCTTCGGCTAATTAGATCCCTGTTAGTAACTCCAGTATCCTACAGAAGAAACACAAGGTAATTTTGGAAAGTCAATTCTAAACGTGAAGAGATGATGCCTTTTCTCGGATACTAGTGTGCTTGTCCAACATGAACACGGTCATGTGTTCTCTGCGGAGTTGTTTCAAAGCCTCTATTTCACATCACGTGACAAATGTCCTAAGAGCCTCCTCCCAACAGTTTTCTGATTGTTTTCTCTGTGCAATTCTTAGAATACTACCAGCAAGACACAGGTGTTCAATACTTATTGATCTGTCATTTTTAATAACTTGGCAGCAGAGAGCCCATTTTTCCTCTAACTGCAGGAAGAATGGTTAGCATTAAAAATAATACCCTTGGACAAAGATGGAAAAATACCGCCAGAATTTGTTAAGGATTACTTTGTAGAAGCAGTGGGAATGAGTCAATTAGTACCATAACTGGCAGTTAGATTATCAAGAGAAAAGCTTGAAATCTGTATTTTTTTAAACCTCAGCATGTTAATGTTTTGGTTTTTTTGCCAGTACTGGGGATAGAACTCAGGACCTTGCACTTGCGAGGCAGGCACGGTGCCACTGAGCTAAATCCCCAGCCCAAGTTAATGTTTATAATATACTGCACGGTAAACCCTGAGTTGAACATGAAGGGACTTTTCTTTTTGTACCCATTTCAATTATATATTGAGATGTGTCTTCCAATTCTCATTTTCATTATACTGACATGCTTTGGAGTCTTTCATTATATTATATTTTACCATATAATTTGGAGGAAAACTGTCTTAAATTTAAATGTACTACTCTGCTAGGGCGGGGAACGTAGCTCAGCGGCAGTGCTGGCCCAGCACACATTCGGCCCTGGGCGAAGGACTAACTTTTCCAGTTGTCCAGTCAGAGAGAGCACATGACCAAGATCTAGAATAAGAAAACCTGGATTTAAATCCTAGCCTTGACACTTACTCTACGTAACCTTGGGGAAATTACTTAGTTACTACTTTCAAACAGTTTTTGTGTTTATAAAGTGGCGATGATAACACAAATATTCACGTGGTTGCTGAGATTAATTCATGAAAAATGTTTAAGAATAGAGCCTGCCATGTGGTATGTGCTCGGTGAACTCTTTCATCTACAAATCTGGGAAAATCAGATGATGACAATGGCGGACATTAAATAAATGCTTATTATATGCCAGGCACTACACTACATTTTTCACATGTAATATATCTCATTCAATCCTCAAAACAGCCTTATGTTTCTCAGATTGTTTGTTTTTGAGATAGGGTCGCACTACACAGGCTGGCCTCGCACTTCAGAGTCTCCTGCCTTGGCTTCCTGGGTGCTGAGATTTCAGGTGTGCCCTGCCTGTGTAATTTCATTAATAAAAATCATCAGTACTTCTTTGCCTTTATATGGAAACTTATTTTGGTAAGTATTTTTAATATATTTTAAGCCCACAACAATCCAGTTTTTTGAGATCACAAAACAGATCTGCTGGGCATAGTGGTACATGCCTGTGATCCCAGCACTCAGGATGCGGAGGCAGGAGGATCACTGCAAGTTCAAAGCCACCCTGGGGTACATGGTGAGTTCAAAGCCAGCCTGCATTACATAGTGAGACCCTGTCTCAAAAATCTAAAAATACTGAAAGAAAAGAAAAAAGAAAGCTGAAGAAGGAGGACTGTCCAGAGCTCAAGGCTAGCCTGGACTACACAGCCAGACCCTATCTCAAAAAACAACATAAAAGAAAAAAGAAAATTTGGTCATAAAGGCACAGCTGACCTTTCCTAGTTGAAAGTCCTACATCTGAGGATTCAACCAAGCTGGGACTAAAAATATTTGCAAAAAAACTGCACGTGTACTGAGCACGTATAGACCTTTTATTCTGCCATCATTTCCTAAACAGCACAGTATAACAAATCTTTGCTTAGCATTAACATTGTATCGGTTACTGTAATCTAGAGACGGCTTCAAGCACACGGGAGGATGTGGCTAGCTTATGTGCAGACACCGTGCCATTTTATACAAGAAGCTCGAGTCCCCACAAATTGAGCTGTCACTCGAGGGTCCTAGAACCAACCCTGAACAAACACCCAGGGACAGCCCTCAGTGACCAGGACCGGGAACGAGGTCTCCTGTCTGTGACGCACTGCTTCTAAGAAGGTAGCAGAGTGCAGTTAGCCTATTTTGCTAGTTCAGTGATGGTGATTTTCAGTAAGTAAAGGCGGTCTAATCTAAGTATGGCTGCCTTTTCCTTCTGTTTTGTAAATGAAAACAGCATATTGTAATTTTTTACAAAAATAACGTACCAGGAGCGTACTGAGAGCATGTTGCTTCCCATCTGTGCCCTGTGAACACGTACCTCCTCGTTTAGGGTGCTGCTCTCCTGGATGGTCTTGATCCAGGCTAACATGTCCTCTCGGTCTTCGGCCTGAAACAGGCACTCACAGTCAGATGTGGTGAGTCGGAACACGTTCTTCCTCTTGGTCTCGCTGTAGGAGATGTCGATCAGGCAGGCGTTGACGCTGATGGGCTGCTCTTCCTCAGACGGAGTGCTCTGCTCTCTCTTGTCTTTGTACAAGTAGAGCGAATGGCCTCGGAGTACAACATACATCTGCTTCCAGGGCCGAATACTTCCACCAACTCGCTAGAAAACATGAATTGGCTCGTTAACAGGAAATACGTGGCTAAGTCTTCGTGATGGGAACAGCACACGGCAAGCCCCTAACACACCCTGTGTGGACACCCAGAGCAGCAGGTATCTGATTTACCTCACTGCATGCTTTTTCAGGAAAGCGAAGGAAAAACTGGAGTATAAACGAAGTTAGGTGAAATATCCCTATCAAAATCAAGGATAGTAAAATCCCAACTTTAACTCAGTTGGGAAGAAAAAATGAACGAAGTGTAACTAAAATAAAAAATAGAAAACAAGGGAAAAAAAATAAAAAATCTTCCCAAATAAGACTACGACTTAACCCACGTCTGAGAGCATGAACATGATGGAATTCCCAAGACATGTAAAATAAAATGTTACCAGCTTCACTTTATACGGTAAAGCACCAATGTCCATATCACAGACAAGTGTTATTAAAATTTTAAACAGACTATTGTTTTTTGGTACCAGGGATCAAACTCGGGATCTTGCGCTTGCGAGGCAGGTGGCGGAATCACTGAGCCAAATCCCCAGCCCTAAAATTTTAAAATTAGTTTTGGCAGTATTAAAATGGTCTTATAATGTTTAAATATTATAGAAAACTCTTATGGTAAAAATTATTGTATTAGAATCTTTTAATGAAATATACTGATGTTTTTATGTGTTTACATAAATCAGTATTTGTAAATAAAAATTATAAATGCAATTTAAAACAACAAACTGAGACAAGTATTTTACAATTATTAATCTGGAGAACTGTCACTTCCTTAAAGCCTAACTGTGAGAACCTGCACCTAGCAAAGTGACAAGGAAAGCACCAGAGTTCCTTTTCACATTGCCAAAATATACAATCCATTCCACATGCAGCTGATGCACAGGATGAAAAGCATAAAGCTAACTCAAGGATTCAAGTCTTCTTTAACTTTTTGCCTTTATATAGAACTGGATTTTTTCACTTTTTAATCTGGATATCTTCCTGTTTCATGAACACAGGGCCTGTGCTTTGGGAGTTCACAAGAGCTTAGGAGATGCACTACCTTCCCCTTATCGGTGACAAGGGGTCGGAGCTGGAGCCACCCTTCCTTGGCTGCATCACTGAAAACCTCCGGGGAAGAGCCCTTCCTGGACCCGGAGTCTTCTGATGACTTCTGGCTGTCAACGATCTAAGAAAAGGCCAAGCAAAAGTCAATGTTTTACTAAGTTACCTGAGAGAATTTAACAATTAAAAAAAGCTACAAATACTACAGTATGCTCCTCTTCCTTCTCTCATGACTTCACATTTTAGTAGGAAATAAGCAATTTTAAAAGAGAGACAAGAAAATGATGAATTTGTGATTTGTGCCATTTGGAGAATGAAAATAAATGCAATAATGAGCAAGTGAGTAGCAACTATAAATCGATGAGGCAAAGCCTCTGAGAAATAACACCAGGTGACATGTATAAAGGGGGGCCACAGAAGGTCAGTGATGAACATCTCAGATAACGCACACCTAATGAAGGCATATCCACTGTTCATTGTGAGTCAAAGAGCTAAGTAGATCGTTTAGGGTGTTTGCGCAAGGAGAGTGAAGGAGAGCCTGTGAGTGATGATCAGAGAGCAACATTATCTGGTCACACAGCTCTAAGACTGCTCTGCAGCTCTGTGGAGAGCAGCTGTGAAAGGGACAAGCGTGAAAGTCTGGGTACTGGAGTAATCCAGGGGAGGGATGAAGGTGGCTCTAAAGCGCTGTAAGACAAAACAGAGTAACTGTAAATATTCAGGATACGCTGAAGTACAAGGACCTGGTGTGGGGGAGAAGAAAATAGAAGAAACAAGGTTAACTTCTAGAACTTGGCCTGAGAAAGTGGGTGAATGGAACTGAAGGAGTAGGAAAGAGACCCAAGGGGTAAACCAGTCTGGAGGTAGTTGAGGTCTGTCGGCCACGTACACCCTAAACATCCAAATGGGCAGGAGCTGCATCAGCGGCAGTCTGGGAAAGAGGGAAGGTCAGCTATACAAACTAGGGGAGACTTCTGTTAAGATCACTGAGAAAACCAGAATGGATAAAGAAGTCGGAACAGACTCTAGGCACGTCAACATTTTGGACATTATGCAGAAGCAGGAGAGCCAGCAAAGGAGGTGAAGTAGTTTTAGAGGTAAAAGGAAAGGCAGAAAAAAATGGTAAAACAGAAGTCAGCATGTGCAAGTATTTCAGGAAGGGAATGGGAAGTTGCTGCAGAGGTCAAATAAATGAAACGTAACTATTACTTTAGGGCCCAAATGCCAGTAGCAGCCTCGGCGTGAGCAGTGCCATTCTGATGAGCGTGGACGGAAAGTAGTGGGGACTGTAAACGAGTTTTCCAAGGAGGTTTAGTGTAAAAAGAAAGCAAGAGCAGTTCACAGAGGGGTGCAGACCCCAGGAAGAGTGGCTCTTGTAGAAGAGGGGCTTGAGAGAAAGAGCAGAGGTACAAAGCAAAGACTGCATTTGGCCTCCAGCAGGGCAGCGTGCAAAGGTGTCTCTGGGAGAAGCAAGAAAGCCAGGAAGTGCAGGGCACAGGTGTTTTGGAGATGGTAAACAAGAACACTCCTGACCATCCTGTGCCTGCGATGAAGAGTACGGAAAGGGCAGCAGAGAGGACAGGTGTGGGCTGCAAAGAGGGGCCCACCGGGAAGGTGCGAGATAATTCTGAACATGTAAGAGTGTGTGCACTGAAACACCGAAGATGCTGGACAGGCAGATTGTTGGCCTTGAACGATAAAGAAAAATCAGTATCATGTGTGTAAAGTACTACATAGTTGATAAATGTGTTTGGAAATTAGAAGCCTTTATATTATGCAGTTAATACTTATAGAATAAAAGGTTATGACACGGAAATACTTAGTATATGATGGCTAAAAGAAATACTCTTCCATGGTGTGCTGAGTAAACTAAGATAGAGAAATGTTTATCATTTGCTTGTTTTTTTTTTTTTTCCGCTTGGTATTTTTAAAGTACTGAATACCAACCTTGATTCCTTTCAGGCTAGATACGTGCTTAAAGGATCTGTTGGGAAAAAAGCATATAAATATTTGTAATAAGCACAATAATACTTACTGGCATAAAAATAATATTAAAACTAATCTTTCACTAATGTTTCATCATTATTACATTCAATATTCACTTTTTTTTCTCTCTCTCTTTTTTTTTTTTGGTACTGGGGATCGAACCAATATTCATTTTTAAATGTGGGTGAAATAAACTTTCAATGACAAAAGCTTTCTTGGCTACCTGGCAAATTAAAACTGTTTCTACTTAAAGTGTAAGATTTTCTTATCCTTTTTACTTATTTATTTATTTTTTGGTACCAGGGTTCAAACTTGGGTCCTTGTGCTTCCGCAGCAGGTGGCGAAGCCACTGAGCTAAATCCCTGGCTCTCCCATCTTTGCTTTAGATCAGAAAAAACTACTGAGAATAAACACTGGGCTATATATTAGTTAACACAAACCAGAAGAGGATTAAGGATGTACACCACCCTAGCTACAATCAGTAAGCAGCTGCCATCGGCAGTTAGCTGCACCTCTGCCTGTGCAGCTGGGGCACCCGGATCCATAAATACGGCAGCAGCGAGACCCCAACTGCCCGCCCAGCTGCCCACCACACTCTGCCTGTCTTCAGGGGGTAGGTGAATGATGGGTCAGGGGCTCAGGAGGCAGGTCCACATAAAGTACTCTAAATGTAACTGCTATAGAGGACAAAAAAATTTTTAAATGGAAAAATCCATTTAAAGAAGTTAGAATTTTAAGATGTAACTAAAAATGTCACTGACTCCCCTCAGAAACTACCCCATAACAAGGAAATCAGAAACACACATAAATGCAACTTTGACCAGGATAAGGAAACACTGTAATGCTAAACTGCAATATGCAAGGGAAGGGTGGCTAAATGCATTACTTAAAAAAAGGGTACTGGAAGAGAGGACAGCTTAAGTACTGAAGGCCACTCTTCTTTCAGAGACCAAAAGCAACCTCCTATGGTATGGAACAAGGGAAGTGGGGTGCTAGACTGGGTCAGAGGAGCCACTTCTGTCACCATGGAGGATGAGAGGAGAAATCAACTGCATTAGAACCAGTTGTAAACAAAAGAAAAATACACACATCGAGAAGTAAACATGGCAGGATTTTGTTGTAATTCTGGAATAGAAACATTTTTTTTCAATGATTCAAAATCCAAAATTCATTAAAATATTTTCTAAATTTAACTACAGAAAACATTGTCTAACATTTTTGCATAGTTAAAAAAAAGAACAAAATGAAAAACAGTGAATTGGAAAAAAGACCTGCAACCCTTATCAGAGAAGAGTGCTAGCTTCCTTTATATAAAGAACATCGAGGGCTGGAGGCTCAGCGCCTGCCTGGCAAGCGCAAGGTCCTGAGTGTGATCCTCAGTCCCACAAAAAAAGAAGAAAAAAAAAAGAGCATGCAGAAATCAACAGAAAAACCAGCTGAAAAGAGACAAGATATGAAAAAATACTTCACAAAGAAGAACATAAATATCTAGCCACGTGCAGTAGAGCATGCCTGTAATCCTAGCACTTGGAGGCAGAGGCAGGAGGACTGCCACAAGCTCAAAACCAGGCTGAACTACATAGTGAGAGACTATCTCAAAAACCAAAACCAGGGCTGGGGATGTGGCTCAGTGGCTCCACCGCCTGCCTCGAAAGTGCAAGGACCCAAGTTCAATCCCTGGTACCAAAAAAAGAGTAAAGAAACCAAAACCAAGAAAATCTTTTATATATTAAATGATGTTCAATTTGTTTCAAATTACAACTAAAATATGATACAATGAGATTTGAAAAAAACCAAAAGTTAAATGACAGACAGCATGGGTGAGATAAAAGGAAACTTTCATACAATGGTGGCAATGTGAATTGTTTTATGCAGAGCCAACTGACAGGAACTACTGAAATAAGGCACACCCTTTGACGTGATAACCCTGTTTTCAGTCTTGTTCACGCACATGCTAAGGCAGGTAAGCACTGTATCTGACCATGTATAATTCAAGCAAATTAAATGAAATAAAAGGATATTCTACATCCTACTAATAGGATATAGAATACTGGTTAAATAGATTACAGTACAACAACTCAATGGAAAACTAAACATGCAAAAACTGGCCTGAAGGATTTCCTGATCACTGTGTACTCCAGCTATCCTTTGCTCATAAAAATAATTAAAACACAAGTACATGTATGTATAAGTGATTTTACACACAGGCCAGGTCTAGAATTATACACACAAAAATAGTAACATAGTTGTGTGTGAGCAGTGCTGAATGGCTGCAAGTCTAGGTTGGGAGGTAGATTTAATACCTACATACTTATACCATGCTTGCATACTATCCATTGGGTATGTTGCCAAATGACAATCCTGTGCAATTTGCATCCCTAGTAGCACATAGTTAGAGAGTACAAGACCACCTTTGAAACTCAGTGTATGCCCAGTTCGTGCCCAACACCTACAAACACACACAAACACATACGGCTTTATAAATATGTCACAGCTGCAACTTACAATTTTGTGTCTTCTCTATAATCATCCAGACCTTCGTCATAGGATTTGGACCTTTCTGTCTTTGAGCTGGGCTGGCCGTCCAGGCTGGGAGGTCCCACAGATTCTGTAATTGAAGTCCAACACCCATCTGTCTGTAAGTGGGTTCCAGACTCTCAATGGTGAGAAGCTCAGCTGGCCACACTGTTGTGGGAAGGACTCACAGCCACTCTTTAAACATACCTTGGTCATGCGAGAGCTGGCGCCGAATTAAAGGAGCTGAAGTGGTGAGGCTGGGAGGGACTGTCACTGCCGAGGGCACGTGAGAGGCTGAGGCTGAGATCACAGCAGACGCAGGGATGTGTGCGATATCGTGGTCAATGCTAGGGCTCGTCGGCTCATCTGTGAGGAGAAAGGAAAGTGTGTCTTAGAATGTTAAATGGCCTGTTATTAATAATACAACCGACACTCAATAATCAGTACTGAAAGGGTCAGTTGAAATTTTTATTAACCGGGGCCAGGGATTTAGCTCAGTGATTCCACTGCCTGCCTCGCAAGCAGAAGGACCCAAGTTTGATCCTTGGGACCAAAAAAAAAATTTTTTTTCTATTAACCACAAAAGTACCAATAAACGACATATTTAGTATGCTAAATCTACTTACAGGTATTACTTTAGTAATTCCAAACAATTCTAGGACAATGATATAAACAATTTAATGAGTTGTGGCCCCTACCAACGAGTAACTGAAAACCAAGGTACCAAGTTCACAACTATTCAGAAGTGAAATAATCACAGCAGAGCTCGAATCATATATCACCCTAAAAGTTATTTTTAAAATTGTAAATGTATCACAGATTATCAATTCGGGAAGCAAGGTGACCTGGCTAAGGCTTACCTTTTGAAGTATCAATTTCTCACACCTTCCTTCCTCCCTTAACCCCACACAAATGTTATCTTCGCTGTTTCAGAAAGACAACAATGCTCATTCCACGGCTGCGGAAGGAGCTGCACATTTCCAGGACCACTGCTAGTCCATCTGGCGCTTCTGCATGCACCACAAAAGGGTCCCCTCTTTCCAAGGTCAATGCCGGTTTCGACCCTCCCCAGTTGTCCCTTTAAGATCCTTGTAAGAATATGATTATTTCAGGTGCTATAATTTCTAAGCTTCTCTAAAGCTTATCTCTGTCAAATTCACATGCACATATAACAAGATAACACATGAATAGCACTTTCTAAGTATTAGCACCAGTCTAAATAATGTATTATTTCCTGTGACACGAATTCCTTTTTTTTTTTTGGCACCGGGGATCGAACTTGGGTCCTTCTGCTTTCGAGGTAGGCAGCGGAACCACTGAGCTAAATCCCCGGCCCGACACTTATGAATTCCTAAGCAATAGTTGCTATTTTTCAGATGAAGATACCAGAACAGGCAGATTAAGCAACTTGCTGCAAAGCTTTAGAGATGGGGTCTGAACCCAGTCTGACACCTGAGGCCCTGCCCTGTGTCTGTCTTTCCACTGGTGAATTTGTAAAAACTCTTAGTCTTGTAACAATACCAAGTGTTTAAATTCTCATATTTTAGGCCCAGAGAATGCAATTTCATAGGATGCCACAACTATAATCCTTAAAATTAAATGCTTCATGATGAAATACTTTAGAAATATGATACAACAAGGCTTTAATTCCCTCATTCTAAATGTCAGGCTACTTTACCTGTATCATTTTTTTTTTTTTTTTTTTGGTACCGGGGATTGAACTCGGGACCTTGTACTTGCGAGGCAGGCACTGGAACCACTGAGCTAAATCCCCGGCCCTACCTGTATCATCTTAATGATCAGTATTTCAATAAAGATGCATGCTCACAAAATTATAAAATTTCAATTTTATGCCTAAAATCAGTAAATTCTAACTATCTTAAGTTTACTTTTTGGTTTTAAAATTTTTAACTTGAAGTGGTTCTTTACATTTTAGCAAAATAAAACAATGACAATTTCTCTATGAGACACTTTTACCAAGTGTATGATAGTTTACTCTCAGGACAGTGAAAAATCTAATAATCCTTTTTCTAAATGCAAGGAGATAAGTGAAGTGTTTAATTCGGTAAGGATACTATCATTAGGATTTAAATGACCAGAAATGCAGGAGTTTCTTTAAATGATACATATCTATAAAGTAAGCTGGTTCTACTAGTTTACCATTCTTCGATGATTCATAAATACTGATGTGAATGGGAAACGCTATCTTCTTTAGAAATTATCTGGCTAATGCAATATTAATACTATAAATAGCCTGAAGAGTTTTTTGCAGCAAGAACATTCATTAAATGAGATCCACTGCACAAACTGATGATAGAGTAAAAAGGTATTAAAATTTTTTAAAAATTTAGACAATACTCCCATATTTCTCAAAGGCTAGCAACTCTATGAGGATATGCAGTTATTGCTGTGTTAAAGAGTGCATGTGAGATGTAGAATTAATCTTTGAGAAGAGTAATTTTATGCCTAGCAAAGTAAGTTTTAAAAAATTTATGTCCTTTCATTTAAAATAAAATATCACAGGGTGAAATTGCCCAATTTCTGGTTAACCACTCTTCTCTGTACTTCTGTAAAGTCAGCTATTTTAGATGGCATATATGAGTAAGATCATACAGTGTTTATCATCCTGCGTCTGATTTATATCTCTTATCACTCAGAATGCCTATTATCAAAAAGACGACAAATGCTGGCAAGGAACTCCTACACACTACTTGTGGAAATACAGATTAGTATGACCATTGCAGGAAACAGTATACGGGTTCCTCAAAGAACTAAAAACAGCGTCACCATAAGACTCGGCAACCCCACTGCTGGGCACATCCAAAGGAAAGGAAGTCTGTATGTCAGAAAGGTGTCTGTACTTCCATGTGTATCGGAGCACTGCTCACAACGGTCAAGTTTTAGCATCAACCTAAATGCTAACACCAAAGGACAGGTTAAGGGAAACTCTGCGTGCATGTGCGTGTCTGTGCACGTGTGTGTGTGCGCAAGGGCATACACGGGCATACACACACACACACACACACAAAATAGAATGCTATTCAGTCACCAAAGATACAAAGTCTCACCACTTTTCACCACACAGATGGACCTGGGTGACACTGTGTTTAGGGATACACCAGGTACAGAAGGACAAACATCATGTAGAGGAAATTTCTGAAACATGCTGGATGTAAATCTTGGTTTTAATGGCACACCCCTGTAATCCCAGCACCCTGGGGGCCCAGGGCAGGAGGGCTCCAAGTCAAGGCCAGCCTTGGAAACTTGGTGAAACCCTGTCTCAAAGTGAAAAACATGCAAAAGGGCCAAGGATGTAGCTCAGTGCAAAGGTGCTGGGCTCAACCCTCAATAGCACAGACCAAGTAACCTGGTTTACATATGTGTCTCAAAAGAGGTGGAAGGTACACAGTGAACAAGAGACCAGCACTGGGTTAACCCATTTCGGTACTGTTCACATTCTTTATATTAAACACTAATGTTAGGAAGAGAAAACAAAAAGCTTAGGTATATTTTTAAAATGTCCAGCTACATTACCTCGTATTTATTAATTATACTATTAAAACCAATTCCTTATTCCCTTAAAAAATATGCAAACTTTTGCGCTAAAAAATGCAATTTGTGATTAACCCAAGCTTTAAAACTCTAAATATCACCAATATTAGATTATGTAAAAACAAGAATAATTCAGGTTGATCTCATTTTCAAGGTAATAAGATAGATCTTCAGTTGTTCACAGGAAAAAATCTCAACTTATATACAAATATATTGAAAACCACTGTGCTGTCACATTTTCAACTAGATTTTTAAATAATGAAATAAATGTCTGTCACATGAAAACAACCAATCATCTCTATCCCAGGCATATCATAAACTCCTGGGGCTATGCAGTTATTATCAAGAGCCACAATCTTCTATGTTAAACTGGATTATATAACCCAAGAGCTGACTTAAGAACTGAGGCTTTACCCCTGGAGCGGTGGTTCACAACTGTCATCCCAGTCACTCCAGAGGCAGAGGCAAGAGGACCACAAGTTTGAAGCCAGCAAAGGCAACTAGGTGAGACCCTGTCTTAAACAAAATTACCAAAAACAGGGCTGGCAATTTAAATCTGTGGTTGAGCATTTACACAGCATGTGTGAAACCCTGTGTTTAATCCTCAGTATCACACACAAAAAAGTAGCCTGTAATTTACTTTTTTTAACCAAAGGCCCCATAGTTCTGCAAATTAAAGAGAAGGCGGAGGACATCACAGTTGTTATATGTTAAAATTCAGTGTCATCACTATTTCTTAATGTGCAAAAACATAAATGTTTTAAAAATTTGCCTTACTTTTGGAAAAGTGTTTTTCAAACATAGATAAGTCACTTATTCCCACAGATAATATATATACAGGGCCGGGGATTTAGCTCAGTGGCTCCACCGCTTGCCTCGCAAGTGCAAGGACCCAAGTTCGATCCCAGGTAACAAAAAAAGCCTCCAAAAGATAATATATAACACATAATTCAATTTGTAGTTTTCTAAATGAAAAATATTCCAAGTTACGTTTATATCAATTATTCATATCTGAATAAGAAATATTTGCTTTTGATTATCAATTAATATTCTAGAAAAAATCTTAAGAGATTTCAGATATCAAGTAAAACATAAATGTACAAAAATCAAGCAGAAATACTGTGCAACTCTATGTAACTATTATACTTGTTTTTCACAGAAGAAATACAAAAGCCAAATAAAAATGAGGAAAAAACCCTTCTGAAAACCTATTAACCCAATAAAGGGAAGATGAACTAGCGATACGACAGTGTCATCTTGCAATATTCTCTCCGCCCCTCCTCATGTCTCACCAGATGACAGCAAGTGCGTTTCTGGCTCTGAGGCCCAGCCACTCCTTTGCTTCCCAGGGCTGCGTGTCACCACGTGGCCCTCGGCCCGGCCCGAGTCCACGGCGACTGGACGGGGAGGAGCGCAGCCCCGTCAGGACCCACAACCGCACCTCCATCAGACTCAGTAAATGCACAGGAAGAAACTTAAGTCTTTCTCATCTTGTCCTTGCCGAACAAGAGCCGCAGTCATCAACAGAGTCGCCATAGTCTGCCTGTGCACCACGTGAAGAAAACGACCGCTCACAGAAGGAAGCAAGGCTGAGGAAAAGGCCCAGACCCCATGGCAGGGCTAAGCCATACTCGGAATCAGGTCTACAGAGAACTTCCTGGTTGTGAGATAGAATTACTTTCTGCCATAATATTTAAATATTCTAACTTAAAGTGATATTCAATTTGTTGGCAAGATGATTTGGAGCAACGTAAAAGGTGGAGCACATGGGCAAGACAAGGTTGCCCGGTCCTGACACTTTTACTCGGCATAGT